TGTTGCACAGCATAGCAGATGTCGGGACGAGTAAACGTGAGGTATTGCAGTGCACCGGCAAGGCTGCGATAAATAGTAGGGTCAGCAACGGGGGTTCCAGTGGTCGAAGACAACTTGCTCTTTGTGTCAGCCGGCGTAAGACAAGGGTTGCAGGAAGCCATGTGTGCACGCTCTAGTATCTCGTCGGCGTACTTGCGTTGAGAGAGAAATTGCCCATTCGACGAGCGAGTAACTGAGATGCCGAGAAAGTAGTGAAGATCGCCAAGATCCTTCATTGCGAACTCTTGATTAAGGGCAGCGATGATAGAGCGGAGCAATTCAGGTGTGGAGGCCGTAAGTACAATGTCATCGACATACAGCAGAAGGTAGGCGCATGAACTGTTGCGACAGTCGCGTGAACTGTTGCGACAGTACACAAATAGTGAAGTGTCGGACTTGCATTCTCTGAACCCCATGGTAGTAATGTGAGATGCAAAACGCTTGTACCAAGCACGTGGTGCCTGCTTGAGACCGAGTGCTTTGTTGAGACGACACACGTGGGTGGGGCGAGATGGATCGACAAATCCGGGAGGTTGCTCGCAGTAGACAGTTTCAGAGAGATCGCCATGTAAGAAGGCATTTTTCACATCAAGCTGGTGGATTGACCATGATCGTGAGAGAGCAATACTGAGAACTGTTCGAACAGTGGCTGGTTTGACAACTGGGCTAAAAGTCTCGTCAAAGTCGATGCCAGCCTGCTGGTGAAACCCACGAACAACCCACCGTGCTTTGTATCGCTCAAGAGAGCCATCAAACTTGAGTTTCTGTTTGTATATCCACTTACCAGAAATAACATTAGTGAACGGGGGGCGGGGCACAACATTCCAAGTATTGTTTTTAATTAAAGCAGTATATTCCTCAATCATGGCGTTTCGCCAGTTTTGGTCAAGAAGAGCTTGGCGATAGTTGGTGGGAATGGAAGAGCTAGAGGACGCAACGAGAGAGAAAGGGACTTTGGGTTTGTGGATGCCCACTTTACTGCGAGTCACCATAGGGTGAGAAGGGGTAGGTGGGGTAGGTGTCGGAGTAGGGGAAGAATATGTGGAAGTAGAAGA